ATTTCAGATAGCCAGCCTACAGAGTTTGACAAAATATTTAAATATAAGTATTTGGCAGCATGTGAGGAGGACCCTTGCTGCTGAAAAAGGGCCAAGTCGGACCCACTATTCCCTTATCAGCAAACCCCCTGGGACTGATTGCATGTTAAAAAACCTAAACTTAGTCTTCGTTTCTCCTCCTCTGCACACTGTATGAAAACCACCTCCTCCCTCTCCTACTCCTCTATTGAGATCTGGCGTGTTTTTTTTTTTCTATTCTAGCGAGGCCAACAGTATCTGGTAGATGCACGGTAAGTTACCGCGTTGTGTCGTATTATGTGGTTTGTAAACCCGCCAGTAGAGCGTTATCGCATTGCGAGTGATATGCTATGATAGGACCTCTTACCCAAGCTATGTGGGGGAATAAGAAATTTGAATATTTGCACATTTCAGCGTCTATGGAAACGGGGCTGTGTTGGAGAGCCGAAGTCGCCTGTTCGGGTATAACTGCTACCTCAAGTCCCATTGGACAATGTCCTCTGGTTTGTATCGGTACTTAACCTATAGTAGCTAGCCATAGTTTAATCTCAACATCCATATTTGAGCACCTACTAATTAGTGCAAGCACAAAGTCTTGTGGCTCATCTAAGCAGCCCATGTAACTCCAAAGCAGCGTTACAACTTACAAGTTCGTACTGTACTGTATAGGCACTATAAACAAAGATGCCGTACCCCCAACACTTTAAGTTATGAGTGGAGGACGCAATACCCATAAACAACATTCTTCTCTCAAATATTTGATGCAAGCCAGACTCTTTTTCGATCTGAGATCCGAGGCTGATCAGTAGGCAGAATCCGCTAGTGCCGGGATGTCTGTCGAGAGCTTTTTGGATACTATTAATAGCTTACTGGTATACGGTACTTGAGTAATGCTTGGGCCAGTATTGATAGTCTACTCGTGCGACCACAGAGCTTTATAAGTTACAGCCCGCTATCTCCAGCCCAGAGACTCCCTCAAACCCAAACACCGAGAGACGATCCCTCTCTATCTCACAAAAGAAAAAGTATCATATTTGGATAACAGACATAACACCGATGCTGCCAGGACACCAGTAGGTAACCGGTAATATCAACTCGTTAAACGTGTTGACAAACAATGTTGTCAACATCACTAGAGAAACAGATGCCGAGGGACGTCAAATTTTGCGGTAGCTATCACCACTCGAACCACGCCAAAGGCACCAAGGTGTGCCAAGCGACCGACTCGACAGCGTGAGGAACTGGATACTGAAACCAGCGAGTTCCAAAAACGAAATGATACGGAAGATAGTTGAATTGAGCCATTGTTCCGCGACGGGAATCCAGGTGTGGTGAAAACCCATAATTTATAAGGTATGATAAAAAGGTCTCTTGTCCAAAGACAGTGCAGATGTCGCTGACGCCCAGCAAATAATAGCTCCCTATTAATCGATAGATTATACGATCACACTGGGGGGGAGGTGCTGCTGTTGTAGGGCTGTACTGCGATTTCCTTGCCCAGCAGGAACAGTCTGCTACAAATATGCTGGGTGCTACCACCAAGCAATTTGTCTGCGGAAAGGCGATCCAGGAGCATATACGGGGGGCTTTCCAAAAGGTTGAAATATTCTTCAGCGGACGAAATCTCCTACCTCCCAATCTGGTAGAAATCCTGAAGACTATTTTATCGACACCGTGGGTCTTCGTATGCATGGACACTGTAGACGAATCCGCTCCAAAGAACCGATTGGTGCTCCTTGAGTCGCTGCGAGAGATCGTTCGGGTGTCACCCAACGCGCGAATATTACTTGCCAGTAGGCCCCATATCAACGACGAAATTGTGAAATATTTCAGCAAGGAGGTTAGGATATCTGTTAGTCCTACTCAGGCTGATATTAAGAGTTATCTGAAGATGAGTATGGACATGACATTGGTCCCAAAGCAATAGATGACGAATTGCGGGCAGATATCATGAGAGTGATTCCAGAGAAGATCTCGGAAATGTGAGTGGCAAGAATATCAAGCACACTCCCAATACAAGTCTCAGTTATTATCCACTAACGATGATCCCAGTTTTCTTCCCGTTTTTCTAAACATTGATGCGATCCAGGGCAGGGTTACTCTCCATCAGAGAAGGGAAAGGCTTGGCGAGATTATCAACAGGGAGGATCTGGGCAATACTTATGCTGCAATCTTATCACGAGTGAAGGCAGAGCAAAGCGGGGGATCAAACCAAACTCACCATGGACATTCTAATGCGGGTATCTCATTCCAAGCAGGCATTACACGTCGATGAGTTGTACCACGCACTGTGGTGGAAGAAAGATCCACCTACAGTACTTGAATATTCGTAAATTCCTGTAATAGAAACAGTGCTAGAATGCTGTCTGGAGCTTGCTACTTTCAAGAGGTCCTCGTCTACCGTCCGCCCCGTTCACTACGCCCTACAAGAGTACCTCACCCATAACACCAACTCGTTCGTCAAGCCTCATTCGATGATTGCGGAGGTCTGTCTGACCTACCTCAACTTTCAGAACCATAGGGACTTATCACCTGGTCTTTATTCTGCCCCACCAACCTCTCCTTTCGTCAATCATGCTTCTTGTTGCTGGGGCGCACACGCTAGGCGGGAAACCACTGAACATGCGAAAGTGCTTGCATTGAAACTGCTCGATGGATATAATTAACATGTATCATCGAAGATGCTGCTATTGTGTGGGATGGGCTATCAAATGCGGCCTTTTGATCAGGAAAACACCCCCAGCGGATTTACGAGGTTTCACGGTGCTGCATATCTCGGATGTGTAGAGATAACAGTTGCTTTTTTTATGGAGATGAATAAATGCGATGCGCAGGCAACCGACTTCAATAATAAAACGGCAATTGCCTGGGCAGCTTGAAGGGGGCATGAAGGTGTCGTGGTACCGTAACTAGGAGTCTCACCCCCAACCAAGGGTACCAATTATGTGTTGATGCATTGGACTTAGTCGGGAAGCGCACTGGCTCTTCCTTCTGCAGCATACTTTTTTCCCCATACGAGTCACACCGGCGGTGTAAGTACCCCGTTACCATACCGGTAATACAGTACTATGATACAAGCTTTTAAAAGGCCTCCACAACCCCAACCACAAGACTGAAAAAAGCCGGTCTATGAATACGGTCCAACAATGAACAACGAATGGGAGAAACTCCACAGAAAGGATCCCAAAGCCTCTATTGCCAGGTGCTATGACAAGTTGAATATCAACCAACCTTTGCTGCCACAGAGGCGGGTTCGCCCGCCAGCACCATCGACAATACAATTCGGAAAAAGCAATTGCATAAATACCCTGGGAGATTAGAAAAAACACCAATACTGTACATAAAAAAACCAAAGAAGTAATCCGTAAAGTCTCATGTCGTGAAATTGCCTGACCGTTCGCCCCGCCCATACAAAGAAAATGAGGAATACAGGAAACCGTTCAGCTCCAGATAAAAAAGTTAGGCGCGCAACCCTAATCTCCCCTAAAAATTAGCCATGTCGATCCAGGTGCCCACAAAACCTAAGTCCACGCCCGGCTTCGCTTTCATAATTTTTTCGAATTCCTCAAAATTTAATTTTCCTTCACCGCCTCTCGCTTCGATCTCCTTCTTCGCTAAGGTATCTTCGTCTTCCTCTTCTCTAGCTTGAAGGGCCAATTCCTCCTTGGCAGCAAAGAGCAGGTCAAGTAGCTCGTTTAAGCCCTGCTGTGTGATCTGGTAAAGAATCTCTGACCCTACATCTTTCTCTGGGTCTGGTATTTGGTGACTAGAACTTGCGGAGGCTGAAGATCCCGGGGGGGGGGACGACAGATCGAGGAAAAAGGCACGGCGACGTTCCTCTTCACGACGGCGGGCCTGTACAAGAGACGTGGACTCCCCTGAACCACCGCGTAGATCTTTAGCGAGAATTACCATTAGCATTGTGTTCCTTTAGTATCAGGGATGATCTGCCGCCAGGCTGTTCAACAGAACGCACCCTGTTCGCGCCTAGTCTGAAACTCGGAACGCTCTGCGCCATGAACTCTATCATCTCCACTCGGAAGGATGACTCGGTCTATATCTTCTTCATCATCTTCCAAACCATCACTCTCCTTTCCGGTCCTTCTCGTCCCGGGAGGAATATTTCCGGCAAACGCAGCACTAATCGGTTGACTGCCAACTAGTACGTTGGATGCTTGATTAGCTTCCAGATGGTCGTCCTCCATACTTGCAACCATGTCCTTAACAAGATCTTTTGAAAGGGCGTAGAAAGCACGGAACATTCTTAAGAAATCTTTACGATCCACATAGCCATCTCCATCTAGGTCATATCCATTGAAAATTCGACGTAACCTCTCACCGGCACGGTTTTTGTGGTTTAAAGTAGACAATCCGCGAACAAACTCTTCGAAGCCAATCAACCCGTCGTTGTTGGTATCGTAGAAGGCAAACATTCGGTCGTAAATAAGGTTGGGAGGTGGAGGGCGCACGTGGGTGTTTGGGACAAAGCACTTATCGAATGTTTGCCTAGAAATAGCACCACCGAGATTGAGAGGATCCGAAAGGTATTCTGAGGCAGCGAGGCACTTGAATTGCTCATATAGAGCTTCAACTTCTGGTGGTTCAACTATTCCAAAATGCCAAGTTAGTGTATGTCTTGGGGAGGTATTGGATCATCTTACACCCTGTCTCAGACCCAAATTTCCTGATTACATCGGCCGGGAGCCCTGGCGGCATTAAACCAGTCTTCCCTGGGTACCATGGGGTCTGTGCTTGTCTAGGGTTACCAAGAAATGGAGCTGGTATCCTGACTTTGTAGAACAAATGTGTTTTCGGATGTGAATCTAAAGCCTCGCAAGTCTCGCAAAGGTCGAAATCGATACAGTTCGCACAACGGTACCTGATGCCCCGAATGGGTAAGCAATTACAGGCATTGCAAGTGACTCCTCGGTGGACGTATGAATCCCTTTTTGATTGCTCCTCCGCGATAAGATATAGCAAGTTTAGTAAGTTTTGATTCTCCTTGGGCTCCGGGACGTAACTATACTCGCTGAGATCATCCTGTCCTATACCTCCGCCAGCCCCTCGAGCCTCCCGAGCAGCCACAGCAGCCTCAACCAATGTATCCGCTATAGAATCGGGGATGTCGATTGTCTCCCGATCTAGCACCTCGCGCAAGCGCTCATCCGAGATAACATTTCCTTCAGAATCGATTCCACCAACCTCGCTGCCAGTAAGGCCATTGACCGGGCCAAACCGACGGGCATTTCTGCGGGAGACTCTCCGAGCATTAGACCGTTTTAACTTTTTGATATGAGGAGTTGTGGTCGACCGGTAGATTTTGTATGTGAGAAGACCGACAGCGACAATGGCGACCGGAACAATCACGGAATAATACCGCGATAGTTGAGGCATTGTGAAATGAGTGGTTAAGCTAAGGCTTCTATTTCGAGAAAGCGGAAAGGAAGATACTGGTAAGAGTCTCACCCGAAGGAGATGAGGTTCTGTGGAGCGGTCCTCAAATTTCATCGACCGGTGGTAGCATTTGCTGGACTACCGGTGAGCGTGGCTCGGGAAGACGTGTTGCGGGGCGACAGCAATCCAGGCAGTCCGGTTTCCCGGGAAACTTTTTGTAATCAGAATTAGGGTTAGGGCTAACTTTTTTTTTCTGATGTGCATGATCCCCAACTTGAATTGGTCCATACCATACCAAGGTCGGAATTGTGCGGTTTTCGCGTGTGGCATAAAACCATACGCGATGTGTTTTTCAATTACCACGAGCTTTCTTCTATTGAACAATCTCGTTACAGAGCCCCTTATTGCTAGTATCTAAATCACAGAGGTCATGGAATTCTGTAAATCACCGCTCCCTACAGTATACAAGGATGATAAACAAGACCTTACAGCCTCTTCAAGATATCCTCCACCACATCCTGAGTCTTAGCACTACCACCCACGTCGGGGCTCAAGTGCTCTCCTGCTACAAGACTACCGTCGACAGCCTTGTAGATCTTCCCAGCAGCCTCGGTCTCGCCCATAAACTCCAACATCAGTCCCACGCTACGGATTGTGGCAATGGGGTTCGCGATACCCTTACCCATGATATCCGGGGCAGAGCCGTGACAAGGCTCACCAATAGCAAACCCGTCACCGACATTAGCAGAAGGGACCAAGCCCAAGGATCCAACTAAAGCCGCAGCACCATCGGATAAGATGTCACCATAAAGGTTTGGCGCGACGACAACGTCAAAGTAAGATGGTTGGCGGAAAAGCTTGTAGATCATGGAGTCCACGATCTGTTCCTCGCAACGAACTGAAGAGTATGAAGGGTTTTCCTCGAATACCGCACGAACGGTCTCACGGAACAGGCCATCGGTTTGCGACAAAACGTTGGATTTGTGAGTGATAGTTACGAGCGGAGAAACCGCAGAATTCGGACCACGAATAGAGGCACGCTTAAGAGCGATTTCAAAGGCGATCTTGCCGATACGCTGCGAAGCTCTGGCGCTGATTCTCTTGATCGCCTCGGCCACTTTGGTGCCATCTTTTGCGGTGTAGGTTTTCTCTTCCTTCACATACTTGGAGATGTTAGTAGCCCACTTCGAAGGCCGGATGAATGCGGTAACATACAAGGTCTTCAGTATTCTCTCTCACAATAACCAAGTCCACGGGAATCGCCGCCCCTTTAACAGACTTTACCGGGCGAACATTGGCGTATAAATCCAATTTCTTCCTCAATGCTACAATTGGCGATGAGTAACCCTCAACCTTCGTAGTCGGAGAGCTAGTAGTTGGAGAGAGTATGAGCCGGAACTCAATTTATCAGGGGTTTCCAGGAACACGGTACCTAACGGCACCAAAAAGCGCACCATCACAATCACTCTTCAAAACCTCAACTGTCTTATCCGGTAAGGCCTTTCCAGTCTTCTGAAAAGTCTCGAATCCAGCCTCCAAGTCTATAAATGAAAATTTGAGGTTAAAGGAGCTAGGTAGAGCTTCAAGGATTTGACGGCCGGCCTATTTTGCAAACCCTCAGCATGTGTTGAGGGGAGGAAAAGGACGAATTTGCGGCTGGGGCTCTTACGGGAATGACCTCTCTGCCGATTCCATCGCCGGGGATGAGACCTAGGAGGAAAGATTAACAATCAAATAATTTCATCCATGAAGAAACAAGGAGTAAACGGTACCAATTCTCAGAATTCGAGCTGCGGCTGCCATTGATTCGATGCGTAAACTGGGAAGGAACAGCAAACGACGTGGAGGCGGGCAATGGGTTACCGGTAGGTGAGTCTTGGTGGAGTGTGGGTTTTTTTTTTCTTTTTCCCCTTTCTTTTTTCTTGACCAGATATTTTAGGGTCGGGATCTGTCGTCTGTAATTATGATACATAACTAATAAGATTCCTTCCCCTTTATGGATAGTGCCATACTGTAAATCTAAAACGCCCTGTACTCGAGTAGTAAAGTTATGGTTAGCTAGATATTCGATCGCGGGATGTCTGTTCTACGAACTAGTACTCGAGTATGCTGCTTAAGAATACTATCGTAAATAGTCTAAGCCAAGCACCTTCTAGACTAAACCATACCTTACTCGCATATTTCCTATGTGATGGTGACAATTTTAATTTGTGGGATTTGCCTGTCGACTATACCAAAATGAATCCGGAATCTGTCAAGATTCCTTGTAACAGAGCTAACATCCCCGTCACTCCGAAAGGCGTTCAAGTTGGGCGACCTTTGGGGATGGCGGCACTCGGTGTTTTGTTCAACATAGTCCATTTCTCATCGCATATACTCGAGTAATAGATCTTTCGTTGAACTAATATTATCGCAACAGTTCGGCCATTTTGAAAGTTATTTGCCGTAACTTAGTGGCTTCCAAAATGACTGGTATATCATACTGACCTTGGCACTGTTAAATTTAGACGATAGCGCTCTACAGCGCAAGCACTCCCGCCAGAATTCAGTGCACTTGAACCGTTGATTTTTTCATCCTGTGGATAAGTTGCTCAAGTGTTTTGTTCTCGCTATCAAACCTGGCAGATACGATTCATGGCCTCTAACATCTTACCTGACACAGCTATTCATTTCAGTAAGGCTACAGTAGAGCACTGTCCCTATCCACAATCCGAAATTTCACCAGAGTCAGTTATGCTTTTGCACAAGTGAGCAACCCTAGAAGCCTCGAGAGGACCTCTAAAGTTCAACCCCGACTCTTGGATTTTTATTTTTGCTCTTCACCGGCGAATCTCCTCTTACTTCAAAACGCCTGAATTGTATTACCATATACCTGTCGCCGGGTGTAGTGACAGGAGTTGAACACTAGTGAGGCAGCTCACTGATACGACTAACCAACCATAGCATGTGGGAGAGTGCCGAGATTGTTCAATACAAACCAGACGATGGTACAGTAGAGAATTGTATTTACTTCTTCACATCAAGGGTTTCGTTAACTCCCGATGCGCCAGCCCATGTTCCCTTTGTCCTAGAGCAGCGTTTGTGGATCGAGAGAGACGAGTGATTATCTGTGACAACTCCCTGCTTGCCATGCATTTTTCACGCAAGCAAAGGGCTCAATGACCCCAGCACTTTCCGGAAGTTGTGGACTTTGGCCACTCTAGGTAACATTCAGAGATAGGGAGCATTAAGAGAATAGACAGGGATCTTCTGGAAGAAGAGGAGTTGCAGAATCTATTCTGCGGCTTTTTCGCTTGGGCTTTTTTGTATTTGTGGTGACTCGACCTTCTGTATCGATGAAATCCTCCAGGTCTAAAGACTAAAATTTTACACTTCTCTCAGGTCTTGCCTGCCACCTGGGTGTCAAAGAATTTTTATGTCAACTTAAAATAACCTATTTTCTTACTATCCAGGTCTCGTCGCGCAAACTCTCTAATCAACCCTATTTTGCTGGGGCGAGTCAGGGGGCAGCGAAGCATACTGGCATTGCGGGCGCCTATTTCTTCCCGACTTCGCCGCTCGGGGGGGGGGTAGTCTCTAATGAGAATGCTAGGCTCCCCGGTGAAACAGGTCGTTAGTAAGTTGGAAAATATTCCCGAGGAAATGGCTCGAGTCCTCGAATACCAGAAAAAAGTCATTGGTGGCCGGGGCTTGCGATCCCCGCAAACTGTGGAGATGTTACATGCCCCTTTCTAGCTGCGCATATCTATACAGTAATATTGACGCTCCAGATAGCTGGGTGTCAAATACCGACTCAATATTCCTAGCTCCCTGAGCTATATTCATCATAAATCCCCGGCGTCCCGGATATCGGTGATCGGAATACCACATGTCCGCCATGAGATCGAAGAGCGTCTCAGTGGAACAGCGGGATTCGTATTTATCGGTCGCACAAAAGATGGTATCACCAGACATCCCCGAGTCAGGTCAGATGAGGACACGAACCCCGACACGATGGGCAATCGTTTGGAAGGAGAGATTGTGAGAAAGATTCCCGAAACCATTTCCAAAATGTACGCAGCAGCAACAAGACCAGCAAGCCCACACTAGACCACCTGCTGACAGATGAATATCTAAATTTCTACCTATCTCCTTGAATATCGAAGCAATTCTGCAGGGGCCGACCACCTATCGCAGGCGAAGAAAAAAACTCAGCACAATTATAGATGGCTCGGACTTGGGGGTGCGTACTGCAACGATCGAAAGATAAAGGTAGAAGATGGAGAAGGCAAGGCTCGGGATGCCTGCTCCCATGTGGATATCTCATTGACGTGGGAGTTACGAGTCTATGGACCTTGCCACGCCCGGGCGGCCGAGAGAAGCTCAAATGATCTCAATACCAACAATGCTCCCCGATAGGGACGTTGTTAAACCTTTGTTAGGAATCGTAGTTTTCTTCTATGATACTTCCCTTCCCCAACACTTTTCACACATCCCGCATGCAAGCCTCCGAGTGAGAATGTGTGAACGCGGAAAGTCATACACACTCGACTACGTATGATACCGCACGGCGAGTACGGTGCCCCCGAAGTCCATGAGAACCAAGGGGAAAAAAAAGGTCAAGTTGTCATCATACCACAACGTTTCTGAACCCTACTCTAACATTCCAAGCAGGGCCCATTTCCCCCGAACACTAGTATTCCCGAGGTATGATGCTTATTGTATTAAATTAAGACATAGGGATAACTGCGAACCTAGCCGGTTATCAAGAATGATTGAGGTGTAATGATACCTGGGAGGCAAATTCCCAGACTAATTGGTAGCTTAACTCATCATGCTCGAATGTGATCACTGAAGCTATGATACTAGGTTGCCCCCCCCACGCAGTGATACGACTATGGGCAGTGATATCAAAGACAACTGTGCAGCACTAGCAATTCGAAAGGCGCTCAGTCTTATCATTTACCTGTAATCCACAGTCCTAGCAGGCCTTCCCATTTATAGAAGATACAATCGAAGCTATGGCACAAGTATCATACACACAACCCCATCTGAGTATCAGTAAAGAAGCTACCACAAGTATCTCACAGAAAACTCTTTATCCCTAATATCAAAGTGCGTAAATATCCCCATTCAGAATACACATGACCACAATGACATCAGCAAGTGGTAAAAGGGTAAGAAAAGAGCAGGGGGGGGGAAGCACATCCCACTATGAACAAGAAAGGTTGTAATAAGAAGCATAACACGGAGGGGTAACGTGAAACCTAACAAAAAAAGAAACCCTAAAGTATCATAAAACCACAGATCCTCCCAACGCCACGAAATAAACACCTTCCTCCACTTCCCCTCGTACCTCCACCTTATCGAAGAAAAAACGGAGAAAAGCCTCCATGACTAGATACCTAACTACCTGGAAAGATGATAAAGGAAAATTCAGTAAAAGCAAATAAAACTCATTTTTTGCGCCCCCATCGGAGGGGGTGAAGTGAGGTGCTTGGGACCGGCGATAGAGGATTCCATCTCACTCATTGGCGCGAGTCTCTTCGGCACCAACGCCCGCGGCATCGTTCTTGACTTGTTTTAGCTCCCTCAATTTCCTCAAAAAAACCTTAACAGGAGTATCCGGATCGCGGAACCAGTCTTCAGCAGCAAGAGCCGCCTTCGGTTTCGCTGGAGGTTTAGAGGGAGAATCTTCCTCAAGTTTGGCTTCTTTCCCCAATCGGTCTTTCTCGAGACGGGCTAATTCACCAACGGGCTTCCAAGGGTCATTCCAAGGTCTTGGTTGGTTGGCCCCAAAATACTTCTTCCTCCTCTCGTCTTCTGACCGCTTTTCCGTTTCTGTCTTACCCTCTTGACCAGGAATATGAAGTGAACGTGAGCGAATACCAGCATACATTTCAAGCTTTAGCTGTTCTTTATCCACCGCGACCTCGTCTCTGATGGCGCAGTTCGCTCGAAGATACTCCCGTAGGTTGACGGGCTTTGGCGGCGCAGGAGCTGGGACTTCTTCGTCTGAAGAAATGTCAATAATGCTAGCTGCTTTGGTCCTGACAGACGTCGAGGACTCAAGATTTACTAGTTCCTCAGAGAGTGCCCGGGGGACTGAAGTCGATAACACGGTATTGGGCACTTTATCTTTCTTGGCAGCAGGAGAGAAGGGAGGCGCGGTGCGCTTTATTGATTGTTTGCTAATTGGCGAGTCGGTAAGTGCCCCCCTATGTCTCTCCAATGCTTTGGGAATTTCCGCTTCCCCGGAACGACGAATTTGACCGCTACTAGATGGAACCCTCTCCACAGGCTTTAGAGCAACTACGGGTGTATCTCTTTTCTGCATTCGGACCTCATCAGAAGACGCAGGAACTTGGACCTCGAGGTTTCCCCGATACTCTTGATTTTCCCGCAAAAGCTGGTCCTGTGACGAGTCTGGCACCTGAACAGTACTAGGTGGGTCTTCTGTGCCAGGTATGCCTTCCTGGTCAGAGTCATCGTTCATATACATTACACGTTCTCGAGCCAAGAAAGCTTGACCGTCTTCACGGTACGGTGTCTCTTTGACTTGAACAATGGCGGCAGGCACGGGAGAGGACAAATGGTACATCCCCTTCAAGTCAGGCTTGGATTGTAGAGTGCATAACTTCGGATCCAAAGGCGCCTGCTTGCTAGCAACCAACCCGGAGCCATTTCGCGGAGAACCCTTCCCCAATCTTAAGAGACCTTCCTCCTTATCCAGATTTTGATCACCACACGACGACTTGGTAGGGCCAGTTGGCAATTCCCGATCCGGTACGGCTCTCTCCCGGCCACCCTCCTGCTTTGTAGTAGACGAAGCTATAGCGCCACTCTCATCGTCGCTCATACTCGGTTCTTTGTTGTGCTCCGGTCCCGATAGAGCCATAAAAGATTCGGCATTCCCTTTAGGGCTGCAGCTGGTAGGTTTCCCCCCAACACTGTTACCGTCACGATCGGATAAGAGAAGTGACTGCACGGGGTTAGACTCTAGCGATGGGGGCACACCGCAGGAGGTAGAGTGCAAGCCCTCCTCGTGGGGGTGATTATTCACGAATTGGGAGAGCCTGTCTTCTGCGCCATTTTCACTGCTAGGCTTGAAAGTTCCCAGATCTCCCAAAATATCTGGATCCGGAAACGAGGTGTCGCTAAGGTTATTGTCTTCATCGGCAGGATCACTGCTGATATCAGGCTGCTTTGCCAACCTTCTGTTTCTATCCCAAATTTCAACCTGCTGCGCGCCCAAGATGCCGTATTTCGCAACTCGTGTGCGGCCATAAGGGTCTATAACAGCGAAAGGGGGTTCAACACTAAACTCCCGAGCACGAGATCCACTAGACCGGTCAGAGTGGTCAACCTCTTCAGAATCCCCATCAGAATCCCCAAAATCATCTGCGGAGTCATAGCTAAGTTTTTTCGGGTTGGGCCGTCTTCTTGGGCGTTTAAACACCTAACAAGGATTAGCATGTGAATGTCAAATAGCCGCGAAAATATTACCGAGTTTGTAGGATCAGGCAATACCCTCTTACTGATACCATTGGCACCACGGGTTCTGCGCCTTGACGGTCCATGACTAACACTAGGGGAGCCATCCTTGCTTAAAGAAAGGCTACGACTAGAAGCCTTTCCACGCTTAATGGAGTTTTTATCTGATACAAGCTGTCGGGAGCTCCCATTCTTTGGCAATGCGGGACTATCCCCCGATCCTACCGGTATTTTAATAACAAAACCGTCACTCCTTCCCTTGGGTGCGTGAATCGTTGAGGGGCCCAGACTCCGTATGGGAGACTCCGTGCTACTGTGGGGTGGTGTCCCAGTGACATCGCGGCCTCTAAATCTAGGATCTTGATATTCTGGGCTTGAAGGCCAGGAAACACCACTCCCTACATCGTCCCATTCAGCCGGATCAGGAGAAGACCTTTGCTGGGTTACACATGTCTTTCTAGCGGTATGTTTCTGAGAAAAAACGCTATGAGGCCGATGTTTCTCCGAGATGGATCGGTTCTCTGGCATATTGTATGTGGAGCCACGAGGGCTTCCGACCTTAGACTGAGGGGGATACCATGCTGTGATAATTGTCAGCAAATGCAATAGCAGGTCATGCATTGCAAACTAAAGATCTATACCCAATGGATCATAGGTGATAGCGCACTTACATGTTTCTTTTTCAAGCTCCATTTCCTGGTCCTCGGGAACAGTTGAATCTTCCTTTGTAACCTCCGTCATACCTTGCCAACCCGGATGCAATACAAGCGAGTCACTCACACTATTATGGCTAAACACATCGCTATTGTGGCTCTTTTGTAGCTTTGCCGCAGGTTGAACTTTAGGTTGCATGGCAGACCTTCCAAGTCGAATTTCAAAGCTTACTTCCTTGCGTTTTAAAGGGCGGGAGTCCTTCGGCGGCACACGAAGAGAGGATGGTAAAGAATCGCCCGATAGCTGTGAACCGGTTGGAGGTCCCGCCCGAAATTGGGACTGTGTCTCAAAATCAAAATCGTCAAAGGTTGAAGAAAACCTATTCGGAGCCTGAGTAGCAAATGGTTGCGAATCTTCATCTTCATCGTCGTCATCTCCATCACCCCGGCCTCCGGCGACTTCCCTACCACCCTTAACCGTACCCGAAACTTGCCGGGCTGACCGGTGTAATTCCTTATCTCTACCACTGTTCCCACTCACGATCGAAAGATTCCTCCTTGGGAGTTGCGCCAACAAAGTATCGAGTTCGGTATCTGTCGTTATGTTTGTTGGATCTCCCCACATGCTCTCACCCTCGCATGCAAGTAGCTGAAATTTTTGGACGACAAAGACCGGTATTGGTGTTTGCGGAGGGCGGTGCCTTGAGGATCCGGTAAACGATTCGCGAGTTCCACTGGCGTGAGCCCCTTTAGTAGCCAAGTGTCCCTCAAAGGTAATGCCCTTCTCAAAGAGAGCTCCGTCCGAGCCAACAAATCGGATTTCATACTCCCGTAGACGGATTAAAGCCCCCTTGATCTCTAAGAGATCTTTCTCATGCTCCGCTTCAAACTGTGACCTACAAGTAGGAGTAAACTCGCAACTAATATGATTGTATTTGTCCGACAATTGCGCAGTAAGAGGATCCCCATAGGTTAAGAACTAAGCACAGTTTAGATACCGGTACCCTGTAGAGCATGATGGGAGTGGGCCAATCGGGGGTGTGGAACTCCGCTGCTTACTCTAGTTAATTGTAAAAGACCCCCCACTGTACCCTGTAATAAGAGGTCTCCGTCGCGAGAAATGCTGTATTCTCGAGGTGGTTGGATAGGCTCCTTTGTCTGCCATCTGCCCAAAGACCCGAGCACACTCTTCGCTAACCATGGAGCCCGTAGACGATCCGACATTTTTCCAAGGTTTGTCGAGAGGGCAGCTATCGCATACCTTGGCTCACTTGGAGAAAAAGTTTGTATGGTGGGGGAAGAGATGGTGGGGGAAACTCCGTCGTGAGGCACCTGAGGGGGAAGACGCGTTGCTTAGCTTGGCATGCGAGCGTGCTCTAACTAACTCTATGATACAGGTATCATACAGTACCAGTAATCTCTTAATGCCAAGACGTTTAGGGGTCCCAGGGCTCTCTTGAGGCGTGAGGGATGAGGCACGGGAATTTTACAAGTGCTTTTACGGTGCCAGTTACGAGTACTTGTGTGTGTACGATATCATGGCTCAGAATCCGAGAAGCTTCCCCCGGAGTACTGCCTTTGGTTTAGATGATTTGTTTAGTGTTTACCCACACCAGCCAGTACCGAGCAAGTAGGACCATAGTGGTACCAGTAGCGGCGGTGGCACGGTAATTTTAATGGTTCAATGGTACTCGTCCGGTACTGTATCATAACTCTAGCATGATAATTTAGCACACGGCGTTTTTGAAAACCTCCACACAAGGGGGGGGATAACCTCCTCACTTATGGTATAATCCACGGCTTCCCGGCAATATATATTTCTTGGTGACTGCCGTAGCCTAAGCACACGGACACGTAACTTACATTCCAGAGACTTTGCGAAAAACGTCCTGCAGAGAATCTACGAGTACTGTACATGACATTGTGTAATAATATTATGACACAACTTTAATTGTGGGAACCAGGAGACAGAGCACTCGAGGATGCAGTTCCGCACTGTTCTCAAGTGCCTGGACAGTGCCAGCTTTGCCCGTGAACATTCCCAATGAATGAATGGTCGACCCCAACAAGCAGCTAAATCTATCGGGCTTCAATTTGCTATAAAGGGCATACGGTATCTCTCTGAGGCAGTTTGACCCACACAGTGTTCATGGGTCAACACCTCCACCTGAATAGGCATCACTGGTAGACTAATTGATTATCAGGATGCGATGGAGGCAACTTATGCCATAATATTATGATATCCTGCGGGATTTCTGAGATGCCATCCTGCCAGGCAAACCTTCATGGGTTCCAATTCCCCATAACTGAGACGATTGTGCACCATCCCTTCACAAGTTACGGGTCATGTGAACATGTCTGAGTTGACTGCTCAGAATGAGCTACACAACTGATGCGGGGAAGCCAACCCATCGCCTGCCAAAGGATGAGCGACGACTCCGACTCGCTAGCCCTTGCAAAGGAACAACCGTATGATACCGCACTTTTGCCATGCACAGATCACTAGGGTCCATGAGCCTGCATTCTCGACCAACCCCCCCCCCCCGCGATCCTTATCCCCAAGTGATCTCGGCAGTCGCTCTTCACCCTCTCAATCCAGAGTGGAGAAGTGAGAGAAAATTTATGTCAGTCATTCATAAGAAGCGCTATTGACAGCGCTCTCCATTTACTACCGTACTCTTTCCCTTGGAGCAATAGCTAGAATTCACAACAGAAAGAAACCCTTTTGTTCATAATACTATTGTATTAGAGCCCCCCTTCTGACATACCATTCCCCAGAACCCCTCTAAAGTTATCCCATTTTCTCATGCTTCAATTTGCATGCCTGTGTCACCCGCGGTGGTCAATCACAAGGCACCCTCGCAACAAGAACCTTCAGTGAGATTGTTACAAATATCCCGGGAATCGAACATTGGATGCTACGGTACCGCCTAGGATGCCTATTTTGCCCACTACTTCCCAGATCTATATAGCTACCAAGTATTTCCATCGCTTGCTAACCCACTTTCTAGAATTTGATCTAGGAACCCAATTCTTCCGTTTACCTACATTGACCTTAACGCGCAATAAGAATGGCAGACTCTTCCAGAAGCTCGTACTCACCATTCCGCTCCTCCAATACAATCGCGGAACACGTCGGCAATGGGAGTTCCCGTCGGCGTGGCTCGTTATCGTTATCCCAAACACTACTCGATTTTTCCTCACCCCCAGCAGATTTGGAGCAGATCCATGCTTCTTCGTGCCAAACACCCGGCTTAACATCTTTTTCCCTCGCATCGCCACCCAGTGCTTCTACCGAACAGTTACTCCTCGGAGGGCTTTACTCTCGTGTTAAAAGTGTGGCGGCAGCAGTTCGGGATGCAGTTGGGGTGCATACCGGCAGTGGAGGCTCAGATCGAGGTGGAGATGTTGGCAGTGAGAGCTATCTTGGCAGCGCAGGGAGCAGAGATTCGTTTCTATCTGGGGCTTCTGACGAGCCCCCCGGAAAAGGCGCTTCTACACCACCCTTATCTCCTACAAAGTTCCAACCCCCACCCGCAGGCAAGAGATCTAGATATGCCTCCGGCTCGTCTCTTAAGTCTGGGTCACGAGTATCGAGTAATAATTCATCCATAGACATGGTCTCTGGTGGTCTTTTCGCTCCCCCAGCTGCCCTACGGAAGGTTAATCTGTTAGCAAATGGGGTAACGGTTCCTTCCTTGGCGCCTGTCACTGTATTTAGGGATGTTTCTGGATATGCTTCGGGAGGAGAACCCACCGGAAACACGGATGTCAATCGCCAAGATATCTCCAATAGTCCCAAAAAACCAGCAGGGAAGGGGAAAGGAAAGGACCCACAAAACTCGACGGTGAATGCGCTCCTAGGGGCAACAGGCGTGGTGGTAGCAGGAACAGTTGGATGCCCTGCAGTGTCGACTCAGAGTGCCGCCGGAGGCGACGACGACGATAACGATGATGATGACGGTACCGTGGATAACCGCGCCCGAGACGACGGCAGTCTGTTCGTGGGGGATGAAGATGAAGAATTTGGAAGTGTGATGACAGATGAAGAGGCCATCACTGATAGCAGCGATGATGATAACCTCGTTCTACTTAATTCTAGGCTACCGGGTGGGCATGACGTTGCCCAACTTGGAGGCTCTAGGAAGGCGGCCTCTAAGTCGCCTGCCAGTCTCTCTAAGCCCAACTCTAGAGATACTAACTCGCCATCGAAGGCGAAATCAAACGGCTCCGCCTTATTATCTCCTCCAGCAAAGGATGTCAACGGGCTTGGTCTATCACTAGCTTCGGACCAAGTGTTTTCGAATTCCCACGCTCCTCACCCATCACCCCCCGGCACAGGGTCTTCCAACCCCACTACCATAAAGTCAACACTTGGTCTGCCACAACCACTCGAGAAGAACCACCCCTCTGCACTACAAAAGCAAATGCAAAACTCGAACCCATCTGGGCAACTTTCGCTGCCATCTCCAAACCTAAAACCGCTATCCGACCCAGCCTTGAGGAGGAAGCGTCCACTTCCTCCTGTCTCGAGAATTAGCACAGACCAAAGCCAGCTTCTTCCTGGTTTCAAGATAACTAGAGAGCCGAACTCAGACACCGAATCAAGCCATGCGGCAACATCCAATGACGGGAACCATAAGCAGAGTGGGGATTCGTCGGTATATAGACAGGGATTCGATGACGCTGGGATAAACAGCGATACCAGCATCACCGGTGCTGGCAATTCAGAGGCTGTCAGTCAGGCATTAAGGCAATTGAGAATGGGGAATCTTACAAGAGACTTTTGGATGAAGGATGAAGTTTGCAAGGAGTGTTTCCTATGTGGAAACACGTTTTCGGCTTGGAGAAGGAAGCATCACTGTCGTACGTTTGGACCATGACATCCCCCATTCCTGAGTAATTACTATTAGCTGGCTAAGAAATTGATTAATGTATGCAATAGGATTATGTGGCCAAATATTCTGCTCCAAATGCACAACCCTAATCACTGGCGAAAGGTTTGGTCATCAGGGATCCATGCGTGTTTGCAATCCTTGCCTCGCCATCGTAAACGATTATCAGGATGAATCAGACTCTGATGAATTTTCTTCGTCCACTGTCTTTCATCATAACCAAGTTATGAACCAGCGCAATGGAACACCAACTAGCAACTCCCCATCTAATAGTGCTGCTGCTACTCCGATAGGTGAACCAATGACACCCTTCAGTATGCCTAAGGATATGCGGCTTGGCACAACGCCCTTGATGGCTATTCCAGCAACAAGAATGATGGCTGGAAAGAACCCGAATAGACACTCCCAAATTCTTGAGATTAATGCCGAATTGCCCTCCCCCCCTCGTCCTTCGTCTGTGCGCTCTGGGAAGGCGTCCTTGCCTCGGGCCGGCACAGCTGCGTCCCTTAAAAACCCTATCGGACACCCTCATCACCACCACCACCACCACCACCACCACAAGCAACACTCCCGCTCTCATCGATGGCTTGGAAGCACAAGTGTTCTCAACGAGCGCGCACCATTCCACCGCAACCCCGTGGATGAACTTGGGTCGCACCGTAGGCTTCCGGCTTTCCATTCTGACAACATCATCGATCCCGATCTTGCCCCATACATGAGTGACGAGGATATTAGCGACTCAGAGCAAATGAGTATATTTGCCACCATTGCCCCGAAATATCCTGAGGGCTTCGGGAGTGGTACAGCGGTTCATGCATTTGCGGCAACCACGCAGAATGATAACACATCTTCGACAGGGCCTAATGCGCCAAACCCCTCCAAATCAAAGTCAAGAAACCCGGGGAGCATTGGTGGGATGGCTTCAATTCTAGCGGGTGGTGGTATTGGTGCAGGAGACCCCGGTTCGCCGAAAAATAACCTACTGCACCCTGCCCGGTCCACACGAAAACGCAATTCTAGTTTTCTGAGTAGTATGCAACCACGGCCGCCCACACGATCAGGAAAAGGGCATCGTTTAATGAGGTCGCTAGTTGGGACAGTTGGGGAATCCTCCTTGTTTTCTGGTGCTGGGGGTAACGTAATACCCTCACCTAGGGCGATCAGGACCGCTTCCATGAGAGGGCCCCTGATGCCTTTGATTGAGCTCAACACAGCGAGCTTGAATCATGTACGAACTCTCCTACGGCAGCTGTTAAAAGATGCGGAAATCAAGGAAGTCGACAAGTGGGAAAGAGCTCTCATGCCGATACTTCTTAAAAGCACGGATGACCTCAATCCCGACGTCCGCGTCGGTGATTCTATAGATATAAGGCACTACGTCAAAGTTAAGAGGATACCTGGTGGTGCACCCGGAGATACGACCTACGTTTCTGGTGTGGTTTTCACAAAGAATCTAGCATTGAAGAGCATGCCAAGAAGTGTTCCACAGCCTCGAATAGTTATCATCACATTCCCCATTGAGTACCAGCGCCATCAACAGCAGCTTATGAGCTTGGAACCTGTTATTGCACAGGAAAAGGATTTCCTTCAGAACATGGTCAACAGAATCATTGCTCTACGGCCCACTCTTCTTTTGGTTGAGAAAAACATTTCTGGTGTTGCCTTACAACTCCTTTCGCAAGCAAACATAGCCACCGCACATCTTGTAAAGCCATCCGTCATCGAGGCAGTCGCGAGATGCGCCCAGGCGGACATTTTCTCATCAGTCGACAAGCTAGCCCTCCCGTCTTACAGAATAGGGCGCTGCGCGAGTCTTGATGTGAAGACATTCGTGCATGACGACATCCCAGGGCGGAAAAAGACATTTATGTATTTCTCCGGATGTCCGAAAGAGCTTGGCTGCACAATTGTTCTGAGAGGTGGAGATATGGTGACACTTGCAACCATCAAGAGAATTACCGAGTTGATGGTTTATGTAGTATACAATCTGAAGTTGGAGACTTGTTTGATGAGAGATGAATTTGCTAACATTCCTTCAACACCCGCTACTGGAGTCGTCCCAACACGGCCAACCCCACATGGTCCCGAACCCTCCCCGCTAGTCTCGCCGGAACCAGGACCAGCGGATCCCGAAAAATCTATAGCTCCCGATGGAGAGGAAGAGAAGCACGAGCCCGATCAACCGATCAACCCCCCAGCACCTTTGCCTCAGGGAATTTCGAGCAGATTGCCGGACGACCTTCTGCCGGATGATATACCAATGCCCACTTATTATGAGGATATGGTGCGCAATCATGAGACAAAGGTCCTATCTGCATCTCCCTTCGTTAAGTACATACAACCATATCTTCTCATGCGGGCGCGGGAATTGGAGAGAAGGCTTGTATACCTTCGCAGATTGAAGGATTCTCAACCAGTTGAGGAAGAAGAGGAAGAAGGTCCCGAAACAGAGACCGAAGCGGAAATGGATATGGCCGCTCATGCTCAGACAACCGAAAAAATTGAGGGTGAGAAAGCCAAGCCACCAGAAGTTTTTCAGCTAGTCCAGCCCGAGATGGTTCATGGAGATATTAAAAATGGTATGACAAAGAAAATGGCAGAAGTTCTACGAGCCATTCACGACGCGGAATACGATAAAGCGCTATATGTCTATCAAACCCAAAAGAAGCAATGGGAGAACTACCTTGCCCAGTACGATGACTTATTCGATCCATATGCTCATCAGAATATTGCCATCCTTTACAGCCTAGTTTGTACGATTACAATGGTTCCCTGTGAAGGGCCGGAGATACGCAGGCTGGAGTTTTACGTCCAAGACCCAGATTGGCCGCTTGAGCAAACCGATTGCACGCTCGGGCAGTACGTCGAATATTTGTGCGATACTGCCTTCAAAACCTGCAATAGTGACACCTGCGACAAAAAAATGATCGACCATCATCGCTCTTACGTCCACGGTCAAGCGCGGGTGAATGTTTTTGTACGCGATAAAATGCCGAGCCCTATCCAAGGGATGCACGACAGTATCTCAATGTGGAGCTACTGCAAGATCTGCCCCGACATGTCTAGCCCTCCGATCCCCATGTCAGAAAGCACTTGGAAATATTCTTTTGGAAAATATCTCGAACTCGCCTTCTGGAGCTCCGAGATGAAGCTCAAGTCTGGCAGTTGTGTACACGACTTGAATCGCGACCACGTACGATGTTTTGGATACCGAGGCTTGACTGTCCTCTTTCAGTATGAATCAATAGAGCTTTTGGAAATCGTCGTGCCGCGGACAAAAGTCGCATACAAACCCGAGATCGACCTGCGAATAAAGAACGAATGTTACACTCAATATGAGGACAAGATGAATCGCTTTTTTTCATCAGTCAAGTCACGGCTCCGGGACATCAAGGTTAACTCGGTTAGTTCCGACAAAATAGACGCATGCAAAGCAGAAATCGAGGCCCTAAAGGCAACTGCTGATACGGAGCACAATTGGCTCATCAAGAAGCTACAGGAAAAGTACAACAAGTCGAAATACTTTGAGATTATACCCTTGAACCGAGCCCTAAGAGCTCTACAAGAGAGAGTTGTGGAATGGGATGCTAGGTTTAGTGCGTTTGATAACGACTATTTCCCTTCCGAGAAGGATATTCGACGGTTGGCTGCGCTCCAACTCAAGAGGTTGTTCATCGATAATCCGAACACAGCAATGCAATCCGATACTGAGCGAGCGCCTACACCGGGTAAGGAAGAAAAACCAGCAGCCGTGGACGGTACCACAACCCCTGGTGAAGCCGAACCTACACCAGGCGAAATGTCCTCTAAGCAAGCGCACGACGTATTAGCCTCAGTTGTCGAAGAAGATGCGGAGAGCAGCCCAAAAAGCGATGCATCAAAAGAGAATAGAGCGACTTTGGAAAAGAGTGAAGGCAATGTTGATGCTTCGAGCATATCAACTGTCACCCCAGAGAATCGGCAGGAATCGCTGGATGATGCTACCCCAACACAAGAGCTTCCTCTTGAGCAAGTTGCCCCTTCACTCCCAGAGGTAACGGCACCTGAGATCTCAGAGCCTAATAGCCCTACCACTGTGGTGCGCCCTAAATCTCAAAGCATCCCATCTATTGTCGAGGCAGTCAATCAGGAGATTCAAACAGATCCAACAAGGGGCCCGGCCCATCGTCCATCAATTGTGGCGGCCCTAGGACGAGATTCCTCGATACCTAGACCTATCGATGGGCGACGCAAAGTGCCTCCCCCTTTCGGGCGCACTCATTCTGTTCCTCAACGAAAGCCCGAAACGTCTGGACCATCTGGTACTATATTAAGGCCCCTAACGTACACGACCTCAATGCCAATCAAGAAGACTTCCGATTCGATCAGAGGAAAGGACAAAATCAGGACTGATAAGAAAGTTGCAGAAAAGACCCGGGTGGGGTCTCTTACAGCCAAGAAGACACAAGAGAAATCCCAAATACCGCGCTCCATTCCACCACCCAAACGCAGGGAGTCAAATGTTTCAACTCTAGCCAAACACTTTGAGCAAATGAGCCGAGAGTTTGAAAAGGAGAGAGCGAGAGAGAAAAGACAACAGCAAGCCAAGCGCTCCAGAGCCCTCCCAGTAGCTACTTCAAAACCTGTCGTTGAGGTATATCGTAGCGTTAGGGAGGCCGTTGAGGAACTCTCTGATGAAGAGCTTCCCGTCGGGGCACCCACTCCAGGAAGAGATCTCAGCAATTTAACTGAGAGCACGGAGTCAACGGTCACTCTGGGATCTCCCGAAGAGCTTCTCTCACCGGAGGACACCATACCCTTAACTCCCAATGAGCCCCCCGAGGAGTCTGAAGAGTCTATTGCACCGCCAAGTCAAGCTCAGTCTGACGCCGATGTGAGCGATGGTGAGGCATCCCTAACAAGCGACCCGGAGACTGTCCCTCCTCCCCCTACCATTGCCGGCGCATTACCGCCACCTCTAGATACGCCGTTGCAGGAGAAGAGGGCTTGGATGAAAACTCTCTCCAATTTCTGGGCTGAACGATCTGCGAGTGGTTGGTCATCGCTAGAGTACCCATTGTAGGTCCCGATGCACACCTCCGAGCGAGATATACCGCTAACATGAGTCGAACCCAGACACCCAACAGACCACGTGTTCAATGATTCCGACATCATTGTTCGAGAGGACGAACCAAGTTCCCTGATTGCCTTTGCCCTCAATAGTCAAGACTATGAGATAAAGCTAGACTCCATTCGTAATTCGGATACCTCGGGCACTGAAAGGCCTCAGAGCTCTGAGGAAGCACCTCCCAGTCACTCCTTTGATGGCAAGGAACATCCTGAGCTCGAACGCTCGTTACTGAAAGCGACGGGCACTCACCTTAAATACCGTATGTCCTATTCTTTCCGTTTTTTAGAGTTGACGCCCAAACTTAGCACTAACATAATTTGTACTCCCTATCATAGAATTTCAAGAGGGTTCAGCGAAGATGTTTTGCAAGATATTTTACGCAGAGCAATTCGATGCTCTCCGACAAAATTGCGGCGTGGCAGATAGATACGTCGAGTCTTTATCGCGGTGTGTCAAGTGGGATTCCAAGGGCGGAAAGACAAAGTCGGTGTTTTTGAAAACTCAAGATGAGAGGATCGTATTAAAGGCTCTATCGCCTATCGAGACGGCTGCGTTCATCAAGTTTGCGCCGGCATATTTCCAATTTATGTCCCAAGCTTTCTTCCACGAGGTGAGTCGCACCGTACCCCTTCCCCATAACAGCTTGTGGCCGTAGGGCACAGCTGATTTGACCGAGCCATAGCTCCCAACCGTAATCGCAAAGATGCTTGGATTCTACCAGATATATATTAAGAACACAACAACGGGGACCGATATTAAGTGGGATGTCCTTGTAATGGAGAACCTGTTTTATGATCGCAAGACTACCCGAATATTCGACCTCAAGGGATCCATGCGTAATCGATACACCCATGCCACAGGCGACCAGAACGAAGTATTGCTCGACGAAAATATGGTAGAGTTCATTTACGAGTCCCCTCTGTTTGTGAGAGAGCACTCGAAAAAGCTTCTTCGGGCATCCTTGTGGAACGATACGCTATTTCTGTCCCGACAAAATGTCATGGACTATTCTCTGATGATAGGAATCGACGAGGCGAAGAAGGAGCTGGTCGTTGGAATAATAGGCAAGTACCCTTTCTTTCTTGTTCGGCCGGCCCCACCCTCCTTTTACACCCTTTGATCCTTTCTTTCCTTTCCTTTTTCTTCTTGCTTTTTATCCTCAGCCCCCCACCTGCGTACTGACGTTATGCCCCTCCAAGACTGTATTCGAACCTTCACCTGGGACAAAAAACTTGAAAGTTGGGTCAAGGAAAAGGGATTTGCAGGGGGCGGAGGAAAGAAACCAACAGTCACTAGTCCTAGGGAATACAAGCACCGATTCCGCGAGGCAATGCAACGATACGTCCTAGAAGCGCCAAGGCAAGCCCCCTTCTTTGCTACCCCCCAAATTGTCCGCCTACTTTCTATCCGCCTGTTCCTATCGTTGGTTGCAACGCCCCCACTTCCGTCGCCTTATTTTCCCCCTTCTACCCCCAAACTGTCATATATCACAGAATCCTCCTCTTTCCAGCAGGGAGCAAACAGGGCTAACACAGCGGCAAACCCTAACAATAGTTGCTGGCACCTATTCCGCGTGGGGAAGTACATGGGTGCCGTCCCAGTCCGACTCCAACCCACCGAGACCAAAGAGTCATTGGCCTCGACGACGACGGCGACGACTACCATCGAGGGGAAAAATCAATTGGAGCAACAACAGGTTGACAATGAGTGATTTTGCTGCGGTCATATGGTGCGGGCGGCTTGCTTGCTGGCGTCTACTTATCAAGCCTAGTACGCAAGGCAAAATTCCCAAGCCAAGTGCGAAGTCCGTGCGATCGGGAGGAAGAGGGGGGATGGAAAGAAAGAAGAAAAAAAAAGTGCACGAAGCAGTTGTGTGCGTAGCAGCGGTTCTGTTTACTGATTGCAACTACCGGTACCGTAGTATGGTTGATAATGATGATGATGGATAATGGATAATGGATAGAGTACGTAGCGTTCTGCATAGACGGAGTTTTTTTGTTCTTTCGTTGATTGGTTAAATCGTTTCGTTCATGACACGAAAATTACTTTTTTTTTTATTTTTATATATTTTTTTATTTTTTTTATTTTTTATTTCCTACACCTTCCGTGCAGTTGCTGTCGGGAAAGTAATGAATGATACTACGAGTAACTTAAATGATATCCCTTGGCCATTCAACCCTATGGGCCACACACATCAAACTTAAATCAAATGAGATTGTCATAGTATACAGGAGTAAAATATACCGTAGATAGTACTCGTAAAGTTTACTTTCCACTAGGATTTCTTCTATCCACAAATTATTTGGCTCATTGGTAATGGCATAACACCCGAGTTGTTACTAAACTCGGCTACCACGCGAGGGGCATCATTGCTTTCCGGAAGGTAAATATTTGTGCTAGAGTACCAGTATAGTACAGTACTCGTACTTGTATGTACGGTACTGTACCCAAGTACGAGTACTGAGCTGTGCTGGACTGTTCTGTACTCTACCCCTTTATTCCACCCTCGCACTTCTGCTGCGGTACATCATGCCCACACGCCCCTTCGCACCTGCCATAATAGCACCAATATCCACGGCACTTGCACCGCTTGTAGAAATTAGAATTATCCCTCCCTGATCTGCCTGACTATACATAGCTAACTTGTTTGTGTTTTGTGTTTTGTGCGATTTTTTTGTTTCGAGGTTTATGCTCTCCCACTCTTGTGACTTCCTTTTGCTTCGGGACCCTTCCATTCCTCAGTTTAGCGCGGACAGTCACTGGTACAGTACGTTAACTCGCATTCGTCATGACATGGCACACCGGTTCAGCTTGATTCTTCTTTCCCCCCTTCTCGCGCGGCCGTTCTCGCATATTTTTTTTATTTTTATTTTTATTTTTATTTTCCCTTCTTCTTTTTCTTCTTCTCCCTCGCGCCTTAATATTAGATTGTAAGGGTTAGCTACTGCTATTTTGGGACCCATTCTCCTTATCCTCCTCTCTTGCTATTATTACTACGGTATCGCTTCGTCGTGTGCCCCAGTCACGGTATGGCATCATACTCGTACGAGTACCGTAGGAGCACACTATACCAGTCAGGCATTTATTTAAGCTTGTTCGGTACCGGCACCCTGCCTAATTAATACACATAGGGTACGGTACAGGTGCAATGCTCGAACAGGTATCGTACATAATCAACCGGCTAAAGAATTAGACGAGGAAAGCGTATTCGAGTACTTCTCAATGTACTTGGTACTTGTAAAGTGACGTACACTGTATGTACCCTTAACGGCAGCAGGTATGATACAATACACTTGTCCGCCCGGCGTCCTGCAGCTTTAGACTGTTCTTGCGCTCGCGGACTTGAGAGACGATTGCTAATGGGCAGATTGCGCTGCGGTGCTACTGCGAGAAGCACGATCAAAACCCGTAGACATGGATTGGATTGGAGGGTGCCTCATCGCATCTCATCGGTAAACCCGCCAGCCAAACAAGCACTGCCGGGAAGAGAGCAGCGTGAGGGGTATAATACCTCCGTCATAATCACGGGCAATGACAGCAAAGACAACAAGTGAGGAGGAAGAAAAAAAGGAGAGAAAGAGAAAAAAAGAAAAAAGGTACGAGGTGCAATGCTGTGCAATTGGGGGGATCCCGAATGGGGAGATTGGTAGACGAAAGTGGCAGGCTTCTAGACTCTTCGGCTTCAGCCTAGTACTAGTACAGTACCGTGCTCGAGTACATGTCATCCGTCCCAAGGTCTGGACAAGCTGAAAAACTGCGCCACCGGGAATATTGACAGTACTCGAGTATTGGTACTTGTACCGCCAGGATCCCATGATCCCTCCCCCCAATGAAATACGGTACACCCCCCCCCCGTCTTGCACAAAGCGAAAACATCGGTAATTTAGGGATGAGCATAAAACGCTTACTGGGCGGGCGAGAGAGTGATGGGGAAGGCGTGCTATATGCTACTGGCACAGTCTTGTAAATAAAAAACCACGGTACTGTACTAGTACTGGCACGTAAGTGACTACAATACAAGTAACTCCCCAGGAAGCCTCACTCAGCCTCATCCTTCAACTAAGACACAAACCACACACCTCTTCAGCTCTAGTGATGGCAGAGCAGCGTCCCCCTCTCTCTGCTTCTCCCCTTTTCTTTCTTTTTCTTCCCCTTTCCCCTGCGGTGCCCGGTTTGCTGCGGTTCACCTCGCGCGCCCTGACATATTGCACCGCGGCGGATCTGCAGCACCAGTACGAGTACAGTGCGGCACCGGTACTCGGAGACTGCACTCCCCCCAGGCTAAGGCCTAGGTTGCCAGCCTTGAGGGAAGAGTGAGAGCAAAAAGTAAAAAGAAAGTATAAAGAAAAGTAAAGGAGGGCCATCTGACGGTCGATACCGTACTGTAGAGTACCGTAAGATAGATAGCGATACGGTATCGGAGGGAACCGCAAGCTACTGACGACGACTGTTTCATTTCTCCCGTCTTCCTCCCTCCGTTCCTAGCTTTCTATCGCCCTGCACTGCCGAATTTTAGGGCTCGGTGCTTGTCTCCCTACCTAGTTGCCTGGATTATCGCACGACGGAATGATTGAGGGCCTAAGTTAATTATCTCATTTGTGTGATTTGCGCTGCGGTATGACTGAGTGCGCATGCGAGCTTTGATGTCATGCCATTCCACTTGGTTCTTGCTTTCTCTCTCTCTCAGGGCATGGGTCCGTGTGGGTGTTGGGTGGGTGTGGGAGGGATAGCTTTGCTGCGGCCCTTGAGGGGGTGAGTGGTCGAAGTATGATAAAGAGATATAAAGAGCACCTCTTTCGTTCCTCCCTCCTTTTCCTTCTTCTTTCCACGGCACACGCGAGTCCTCGGACCATTATATAAACCCATTTTCCACTTGCTTTGTTCATCCTATTCATTGATCAGGTCTGCAACACCCCCAATCAACCTGACGCCTGCGACGCCTGCCAGCTGGTTATCTCTTCCCTACGCCTGACAAGCCGCTATCTTCGCCATTGAGACAAACCAACACCTTTCACCCCCCCAAAGAAACCAATAACCGAAAAATCATGTCTACCAAAGCCTCTCCCCGCCCGGTCGTCATTGTTCAGAATACTCCCTCGAGTTCCGCAAGCTCCCTAATTTCAACCGCATCAATAACATCATCCATAACCCGCAGCAATTCAGTCTCTTCTACCCACTCGAGCAACACTTCAACTTCATCCGCATCACAGCACCATGCGGAGGGTCTCGTTTCGCGAACTCGTCCCGCGCGAGCAGTTGGGAACGGTCGTGAATTTGTTGAGACTGGTCACCCGCAGGGGGGCAACCCCCACGGCGGTCCTCCGCGGGAGGAAAACGGTTACTATCGAGTCAGCACAGAAAGTGTCACTGTCCATAATTCTGGTGGCCTGCTTACAGGCTCCGTCTCTACCGACATGGGTGAAGCGTATGCAAATGGATTAGACCATACCGAGAATTGTCGCAAATTGAGCCAGAAAAGCGACAACCGGACTCTTTGCTTCTGTCCTGCCAGTCCCAGTACCTGATGAAATCCCGGGAAGATGCGATACGGTTACGGGCGTTCCGATGGATGATGGTTTTTTCCCCAGTTATTTCTCACTAGATGTTTAAATTGTCATGTATTAGTGATAGGGTCTTCTTTTTATCTTTCTCCTTTTATCTTCTGGGTGGACATTAGCGGATCTTTTCAATTTCCTTTCTCATTATTATTATCATCACCCCCTCTAGTAGTATTACCTGGCATATTTTCGGATTGAGTTTTGCTATTGCATTTGTCTCTTTTTCATCGAGATTCATATCTTCTTTCTTTTTTATGCACCCTGTTCCTCACTTTTCTAACTTTGAATTTCAAAGCTGAAAAGTTTCGTCCCTTCGAGTTACTCTCGGAAAGGGGGGTGGCTGTCATCGAATGTATTCGATTACCTTAGGTTTCAAAGCGAAATTGCATGGACATTAGCACCCAAACATTCCCGTTCAATAGACGAGTGATATCGAAGCAAATTACCGTAATCAAATCCTACCAGCAAAGCTCCACGGGACGAGGACCTGCACACAAATCCAATCCATCAAATGACTCACCGCAGTGCTCAGGACCTCAGGTTGCCACAGCACCATTTTGTCCCTGAATACGGTATTTTTGAGAAGACTTTCCCCCTTTCTCCTCGCTGACGCCTGATTGGTTGATGGAAGATCAACCTCAAATACTTCCTTATTCACCCTTGACGACTCGACATCCCATTCGCTAGAAACCGACACCTTACTCACGGGTCAACCGGTACGCCTGCATGATGTCCGGAATCGCCGCAGGCTCGAGTACTTGTAGATATCGAAATTTCCCCACCATAACGTGACGTAAAGACTTCCATGTCCCACAGAACCGCTTACCTCTCCTCCTTAAACCACCATGACAACACCCCTCCCCCCCCCCCCGATGCCGGCACCTATACCCTACACGGATATCCGAACCTTAGATCCGTCTCCCCCCCCCACGAGCTCAACAAACCCCAGAAATGTGGACCGATGAGCCAAGCTATCATACGAATGACAAGACGACAACCCAAGGCAGATTCGTGATGATCCGCTGGCCGGAAATTGTTGCGGTGCGATAAACTGGTGCGTCGTCGGTGGGTGCGAAGGACGGTGCTGTTGATAACGAAAAACATCGGCTGTCGGATGAAAGTGTCTACGCGTTTCTTCGCTCTAGACTATACAATACAGACTGGCGATACCGGACCGTAGTCGTAATCGGGGAATCGATCATTCATGCACGCTTAACCTTTAAGAGAAGGAGGCTCTACATATGCTTGTTTTATTAGGCCCCTCATATTATTTATGATGGGCTGCCGGGTAGTTTTATTGGGGGCTTGCACTTTGGATAAAAAGGGCAGTCAGTACCAGGGAGAAGTCTAAATCGTAACCGATTGAGATATATGGTCGTAGGATTGGTTGCAAGGAACACGAGTAACAGTCGTCGGTGACGCCTTTGAGGCCGGGTATCATAACGACTATGGGTATGCAGTGGTTACTGCTTGCAGCCTGCCAATTCGGAAAGTGACCGGATGCCTTGGCCCGAGACAGCAGCTGGTAGCATGAAGCACATGAGGGGTAATACCGGTATCATACTTGTTGTATAGTAAAACCTGGTGTGAATGTTACCCGGCCATTGCTCGGGCCCACCAGCCAATCTTCGCCCCCAGGGTATGGTTACCGGTATCGTACGGTAGTCTAACGGGCCGGACTGAAGGAAGCTGTGGGCCGATCCCGGGATCTCACGGGCCCTACAAGTACAGTAGGGAAGCGCCTGGCTCGGCAAGTCCCGGAAAAGGCAACGAACTAAATTGGATGAACCATTCCCGTTCCTGAACCCCTTAACCATTCAATAACCTTACCGGTAGTGTCCGCACATCCGTCGGAGCGGTTCCAATGGGTTTACCTTACTCACATTCATTATGAAAAAAGTCACTTTCCTTTCAAAGGGAACATATTTTCCCATTCGACCTTTGGTGATTTTGCACCAGGCTTCCCGCCACCGGACGGGAGATCGATCGCGACGAAGCACGATAGAGCACAAGTACCGGCACTGTACTCGTACCTGCTGCCCGCCATTGTCAGTCCATCTTTCGGCGGGGCCCCCACAATAATAATTGACGGGGCGTTTGTTTCGAACAGGATACTCGAATAATACCGTAGCAGCTTATGCGGGGATATTAAGCTGGTTCCCCTCACCAGACCTCCGCCCACGCAGATTCTCTCCTCCCTGATTTCCCGACATCGGCGAAGTTCGTATACCGCATTTGAAATTTCACTTCCTGGTCTCTCTGGGTGTCTCTCCAATTACCGAAAATACGCAGTGCACGTTAACACTAGAATAGGCATCAACTCCGGTGGCTTCCCCGGCTCTGCAATAGCTTTGAACTGTGAATGCAGCTCTTGAGAGCTCAATGTGAGTCTGGATAGACAGTGAATGCCTCTTTTCTTAGTGGTTTGACCCTTTGACAAGGGTTAGATGTCAGAATCCCCTTCACCAGGGTTTGAACAGTTTCTTGGCGTCCGAAACTTCAATCATAGATCAATCGAATCTAGTCATACGATCACGACACTCTAGTCCCGGTATGATAGAAGTAAGCAAATTTCACCGGTGAACAACTGGGAGATTTCCAACGTGCATCCTCTTGGTAGTATCATATCATAGTTGATGTATAACCCCTGGAGGAGACGATTCCCCAACAAGCCCTAGGAAAAACAGATACCATCCGCCGATCCATGCGATAACCATTGCAGACGAGCCTTATTGGGAGGTCTTGGAAGTTACTCGAGTAGTAAATTGGATATCAAGTATCATTGTTGCGTAGCATTAACGGCGCGACAGTGACCCAGTGAGGAAGTGGTCCCGGTCGGGGTCCAATTATCATTAACTTACTCGTCCCAAGAATGAAGTAAGGTACTATGACTAACTGCCTTAGTCCAGGTACTTGTGCTTCTCGTGCCTTACCAGGATGAAGGCCGAACCTCCGTGATGCACGAAGTGAGGCAACAAGTGTCAGACGGGAGAGGATGTGCTGCTCCCTCAAATGGGAGCATTTTGGTATAGCAAACTAGCTTGATTCGTATTCATTCCAACTAGTATGATACAAACTGCTTCCCCGCACACTCTGGTTCAATTATGCTGGCTTCGGGGGTGAAGGAAGTCGAAGTAGTGATGTTGTGGTATTATTTATACTGGGTTGCTCCCCGCGAGCCATGTTTTCCCTAGATCTCCGCTCCAAAGCAGCCTGCATGAAGACCCTTTCAAGTTCAATGACACACTGAGCATATTACATTTATGGAAACCGCCAATGCGCACAATTCTTCGACGCATTGTTGACAGGAAAGTCAGGTTCATGGGTCATCTGATGTGAACAACTCTGTAATTATTATGTATCATGGTGGGAATTTTTAGGGCGTTATTGAGGATTAAGCTCAAAAGGGTTTGTTCGAAGATTGAGGAAAAGATTTTCCTGTGCGTAAGGAGGGCCTTCGCCACCTTTCTTTCTTTCTGACGAACAGTGAAAAACTACTGAAAAATAATTAATACGAACAAGAGATTTTTCCTATCATACGAGTGAACACAACTGAACTAAACGTGAACACAAAAGAATTTACGACTGCGAAGGTGGGAATTAGCCAAAGGACCGTGCTATCCCAAATTATCGAGGACTATCATTTGCTTTTACCTTTTTTCTCTCTCCGTTTGTTCTCTCCTATCTTTACGAATCTCCATCGACCTCTCTGCCCTCACGTTTTCTGCCATGGACCTGAAATAGTTCTTTCAGTACCTCAAGGAGACAAGTAAGGAAAGAAGTGTAACTTCCGTCGGGGACGGTCCCTATGCCACAGGTGGCTGCCGGCACAATGCGGCTGCTCCTATTCGGTACTCGAGTAGTCTAGTGCCTCCTACCGGGCCCCTCCAAGCTTAGTTTCAGGAAGTTCGAAAACCCTGTGCCATTGGGTCTTTTTGCCTTCGCATCGGCGACTTAGGCCTTGAGCTTTGCCAATACCAACGCCAGAGGTGTTTCAAGCCAAAATATCGCCGTTGGTTCGGCATATGGCTGCGCCGGCTTGATCCAATTATTGAATGGTATGTGGGAAACGGCCGCTGAAAGTAAGCTTGAACTCAAATCGGTGCAAACTAAAAACGTCAAAGACTAACTTCAACTCAAGACACTTTTGGTAGATTGCACCTCAAACCTACTCCCTCATCCTTGACTCTCTTCTACCCCGCCGTCACTTTCTTGTTCTTTTGGCCATCGTGCACCCCCAAACCGTTGACGGTGGTGCCAGTGTTTCCGCTCAGAAAGCTGGGTGTATTCGGCCTAACAGTATTGATTGGTTGTGAAGGTGTATGGCTGAGAGGAGAAACGGTTTCTTCACCATCCCAGTAATTCCTTCACTTGTGGAATAAGACTTCGACATTACACCGATGTTAATGGGTGTATCATTTCCATGGAGCGAGAGAAGCGAATCCCGAATCGATAAATCCAGCTAGCTGACTTCTGCATGACCCAAAATCTGTGCGACATCTGCCGCTCGGAAAAAACCGAGTTATCGTTCGTGATCCCCCAGGCCTATAAGAGCCGATACAGGAGGTTTGGAGCTGTTAAGTGTTCCATATTACCCGCCGTTTTCTGATCTAGGCCCTTTTTACCATAGCGCTCCGCAATAAAAAAACGCCGCTTTTCTTGCGGATTCGATTTTCCGCTGAAGCTCGAATCCCTTTGGCCAAGGCGCACGAGTAGAGCCATATCCACATAGCAGCTGCCTTGCTGATAGCTGTACTCCCGCGGCCGAGTTGAGGTTGGACACCGAAGGTTGCAATTCCCATAGAAAGTGTCCAACATCAACTCAGCCGCGGGAGTATGATAATGGAAAAAATATCTAGTAGGGGGCCTGCAAGTTAAGCTATAACCGTAAAAGTGCAATGTTAAAATATTTCTATGGCGTGATAAAAAACAGGGCCCTGGTACCTTTTTATGTTGATACATGTCCTATGTATTTAAGTCTAATACCACGACGGAATCGCCCTAACACTGCATGTTACTTTGCTCATGAAACTCTGTCAAACTCAATGACTGTGTCACTCATTGGTTACGTTAGCAAGCTTTCCAATTGTAGTTTCTACCTTCCCCAAGGGAAGTGTGATTCCTATTGGCTTGAAAAGGGGAGGTTAATTTCCTTCCAGTACCCGAGTACCGTACTGTGCTCAAGAGACCAAGATCTTAGCTCTCTATTGCAGACGTTCCTGCATTTAAGTTACCCACCGGCACTTCTGGTGTAGGCTGCTGCAGCACGATACCATTTCCGGTTTTCAAAGCGCGCCACCTAGTCAATGCGCAATTACCCCCCAACGTCATAAGCTGGGCCCTGGAGAAATCACCGAACGCAATCACTGATTGTCAACCTATGGGATTCGGAGGGGAGGACAGGAT